GGATATGAGCTGAATTAGGGCATTTTTGGTCTTTCTGCTTTTTTTCTTGGCTATGGGTCCATCTCTTACATTAGCTCATGAGGTCCCTCAGCTGCAATGATGGATACAGTGTATCTGTGGCCTGGGACAGGTGGCAAGGAGCTTTAGTGGGTGGCACTTGACAGCCTCAACTTTTTCCCCGAGATACCAGGCCTCTTCGGGCAGCAAGTGTGGTAAGGATCCTGGCCCTGGGGCTGGAAATGTAGTTCAATGATAGAGTGCTTGCCTAGCATGGGCAAAGATCTGGGTTCCATCCTCAGTACAGCAAGAAAAATAAATGAAAGAGCTAGGCATAGTGGTCATTTATAATCCCAGCACGGTGGGGGGCTGAGGCAGGAGGATGGAAAGTTGGAGCTCAGTCTCAGCAACCTGGCCACTTAACAAGATGTTACCTCAAATTAAAAAGGGAGGGCCAGGGACTTAGCTCAGTGGTTCCGATGCCTGCCTGGCAAGCGCAAGGTCCCAAGTTCGATCCCCAGTACCAAAAACAAACCATCAAATTAAAAAGGGTTGGGGATGTAGTTCAGTATGAAGGCCCTGCGTTTAATCCCTAGTACTGCAAAAAGAAAGTGAAGAACTGAAAGACCCTCAACCTGACTCTCCACTGGCCAGGGCTCAAACAGGCCCTGGGAGGTCCGAGACCTCCCCAGAAACCCACCCCAGCTGGTCTTCAAAGCTGGGCTGGAGTCTGGGTGGCAGTCACAGGGTGAGCGTAAAATCAGGTCAGACCACAGCCAAGTCCACAAAGAACACTCCAAACGGCCACATCTGATCTGAAACAAGAATGCCCCATCCTCTCCTTCCCTGCTCTCTCTGCTGGAATCGGGGCTGCCTACCACTCCATCTGAGTGGCAGCCCAAGACCCAAACCCTCAGTCACCTCACCCCAATGCCGTCAAGCCACCCCACTTCCCTCATCGTCTACCAGCCTTGGGCCAGCATCCAGTCAAGTTTTTCTTTACATGCTTATTTTGGAATCACTTCAAATTTGGGGAAAAGTTTGAAATAGTACAACGAACCGCCATCTGACCTGCCTCAGGTCCAGCAACTGCAGACAGCCTTCTTCCGGCGATGTTTGCTGTTACTGACGTTATCTTTGTCTCCTGCATGCACACATAGATGCAAATTACAGCTACTCCTCTGGCTGGTCCTGAACTGCTCCCAAGAGGCAGGAGTGGGCGCGGTGTCCCTTCCCTAAAGGCCTCAGTATTTTAGTCCCTAAAAACCAGGGCGCTTTTACATAACCGAGGCAGTTATCAACTTCGTGGAACATAACATTGATTCGGTGCCATCAGCTAATCTACAGTCCATATTCTCCTTTAGAGCAATTTCTTCCCGGATCCAAGATCTCACCAAGGCCTGTCCACTGCTGTGAGCTGCCACATATTTTTAGTCTTTTTCTCTTCTGGAGCAACTCTCAGCCTTCCTTTGTCTTGCATACCATTGACAGTTTTTTAGCCCAGGCCAGTTCTGTAAAAAGTCCCTCCCTCTTTCATTCCTGTTTTAAAATTCCGAAACCTCATTACAGGACCTTAGGGCTGGGCAGGGTCTGCCCCCACCCACCTCTAAAACCTTTTCCTTGCCGCTGGCTTCCTCCAGCCTTGTCACCCTGCCGTCACCCGAACTGCCCTTTCTACTCTTCACACACAAAAAGGATCGCTCCAGGCAGTGCCGAGGTCAGGCCCTCTGACCCCGCCCTTGCCCTCAGGGCAGGCCAGACCTGAGGCATTTTCTTGTCTGCGTGGCCTGTGTCCCTATTCAGAATGACTTCCTTCTCAGATCTGCACATCCACTGCCCCGCTCCCCTCACGAGAATGCGGACTCCTAGAAGGGCAAAGACTTCAGTCCAGGTCACTCCCAAAGTCCTGGATCGCTGGCCATGCCTGGCTGGCACGCAGGAAACACTTGGAAATTATTTGCTAAGTAAATGAGCAAGTGAGGAAAGAAAATTGCCAGGCCTGAGAGCTAAAGCACCAGGAGGCAAGGAGAGCTGAGAGCCCGGGGCAGTGGAAGCCCTTCCAGATTCCAGAACCTTCCCCAACCCGCCCTGCTGCCTCTCACCAGAAAAGGAAGAGCCTGGCAACCCTTTCTGATCTTCTCCATCCCACTACCCCACCAGCCAGCGCTGATTAATCTTTCTAAGTCAATCCCAGTAGGCTGAGGCTGGATTCCAGAGCTGGAGCTGATGGGTCCTACAGAAGGCTGAGGACACCCTATTGTCCACCGGCAGGGTCAAAGTGCAGGGCTCCTCGCCCTGATCCTCACCAGGGTGTGGGGGCAGGGAGAATAAATATCCAAGCACAAACTCTTGCTAATAGATCTTTAATTGCAATGCAGGAGGACAGGGTGCGGGGCCTTCCCACCCCGGAGCTGAGAGCTGAGGCTGAGAACCCAGAGCCTAACCTGCCAGGTACTCCCCTGCACTGACCAGGCTGAGAGCATTTACTGCTCAGATTACATCAGTACTCATGGTTACAGGAAAGGGAAAAGCCACCCTGGGCTTTGAATCAAACCCCATTCATTCCCAGCTTCACCTCTTCTACAAAGAGATCAAACCCCTTAGCCAGACCCACGCATCTCCTCCAGGGGACCCCCACTCACAACAGATTCTCCCCACCCACCCAGGGCTCTCCCAGAGTAGCCCCTCTGCACCCAGCCTGCTGGACACAAGGTCACCCCTCTGCCAACCTCTGCATGGGAACCAGCCCAGAAGAAACACCCTCTCACACACACCTCCTCACTGGCTGGCTGTGCGACCTGGGCAAATCGCTCAGCTTCTCCCAGCTTTTTATACAAAAAATAAATAAGATGTGGCTGATAGCGCTGGCAAGACCTAAGAAGCTGACAGCCAAAGAGAGGATGGAGTGTGGGGTAGAGAAAATTTACCACCTGCACCCCACAAAGAAAACGGTGTGAGAAGTTCCTAATTGAGGAATTTCTAATCCACCACCCTAAGCAGTGAAGGGAGTTGGGGGTGCAGCTCCCCCACTCCTATCTAATGTGATTAGCAGGCTGGCTCCAGGCACAGGACTGGGGTCCTCTTCTCCTGCCTCAGCTGAGGTGAGCATGGGGGGCACTGAGAAGCAGCACCAAAACCCACTCTACTTCCCTCGTGGCTGAAAAAGGCTCAGGGCACAGGGGTGGCCTTCTCGCCATTTCTTCCCCAACCACAGCCCCCAGCACGTAAGTCAGGCAGGTCGGAGCTCGGGAGGCCTGGACTCAGGGCTCCGGCCACTTCCAACTGGCTTCTCTTTGCAGGTCCAAGCCTCCACCTCCCCATCCACCAGTAATGGGCTCTATATGGCCTGACTGTCACGGCCGGTTTAGGGGGACCCTACCACAGTGGGTGCACGCAGAGGTGCTCCCCAAGCAGTGCACTCCTGGGGACATTCCACCAGGTTCGGGAATGCGAAGCAGGCAAAGGCCTAGCCAGCCAGAAGCACTTTGGGTTCCATTCCAGGTTGCAGGGCCTCCGCCACCGTCCGGGGCTGGAGCAAGTAGCTCCAAGAGCCCAAAAGGCTCATGCAAACGCACTCGGAGAGCCCCCACCAGCCTTGTTCCCAAGTTCTTGGACGGGGGGGCGGGGGGGGGGTAGGTCCGGCGTGCCCATGGGGAGAAAACCTTGGCCCTCGTGGGAACGCGGCCCCCCAGTTCCCAGGGGACGCCGGGTGGCCCAGAGCAGCGACCCCGTCCTCGCGCCCCGCCGGCAGGGAACTCCGCGTGCCCCTCCCCCGCCCGGCGTCTCACAAAGGCCCTTTGTCCCGCCGAGCCCCGGAGACTCCGTTCCTGAAAAGTTCCAGGAGAAAAATCAAAGAGAGAAGACAAAATCGCCAAGCGCTGCCCAGCTGGCCAGGCGGGCAGGAGGGGGCAACCACTCCAGGGCTCAGGGGTGTTTTTCCTCCAAGACCCCAAGGACGAGAGTAGCGTCGGAGAGCGCCCCAGGAAATTGCAAAACTCCTAAACTTCAGATTGAAAGAAAAGAAGTGGATTTCTTCTCCTTAACTCCAGGGCAGAAGCCAAGAGCACCCAGGGAGTAGACCGGTGTTCCCCGGGCGGCCACAGGAAAGGGCAGCCGGTCCTGCGTCCCCACTCCTGCCTTGGTGGCGCCCTCCTGTGCGCTCCCGCCGAGCCCAGGCAGCCATCGCGGGAAATGGCGGAGCCGCCGGGCCTCCTCGGACGCCTCATCGGACATGGTTCTCTCGCCCCACGTTGGATGTCACCCTCCCTCACACCCTTGGTGTCCCCTCTGCGGCCCGCACCCGGCTTACCCACTCTCCGGGTGGCCTCTTTCCCCTAGGATCGCGGTAGCAGCGGCTCGGTTTCAGCGTCTGCACCGAGTGCCCTTGCTCCAGCCAGAAAACAAGGGTCCCCCCCCCGGGGGGGGTCACCACACACCTACTGGGATTTAAAGGGGCTTCCGAGGGCCGTCCCGAGACCGGGGTGCCAGAGCTGTGATCACCACAGTCTTCCCGGGGTCCTACAACCCCCGGGGTTCGGGAACCATAAGGGACCCAGATCGGCGAGGGTAGTAAAGCTGGAGACAGAACCCAAACCCCACAGGCCCCGGGCAGGGCATTTGCCAAGAAAAAGATCGGAGCTCTCAGGAGCAAATATCTCCCAGGGTGTAGGGGGGCTCGCCTGTTCTTTTCTCGCCCAGAATTTGCAAACTCCAGCCCAGACTCGTTTGGGAACTGGAATCACCCCTTGGTGACTCTGATTTCGGCAGATACTTAGGCCTCGGAGGGTCTCGATGTGCAGGGGACCCCAGCCTAATCCCCCTCCGTCGAGATCTCTGGACTGGCCTCTGCCCAGGACTCAGGATTTCCCTGCTATGGGAGCTGAGCCTTGCCGCACACGGTGGACCACCGTGGGAGAGGCGCCCAGCCCCAGCCACATAGATCGTCCCGGACCTCCCTCCCTGGGATCCCCGGAAGGCAGAAGAGGAGGGCGCGGAGCACTTACCCGGGTGCTGGTGGAGGTTGAGGCCGGCCATGTACTTCCCGGGCGGCAGCGGGCCGGGCAAGCTGGAGCCAGGCAAGCGTCCGGCAGTAGCCGCGCCCACGCGGTGGCTGTCCATGGCCAAGCCGGACAGCAGCGGCGGCGGGGGGCCATGCACGGACCGCTGGGGCCCGAAGTCTCGGCCATCCATCCTCCGCGGGAGTGCCGCGGCCAGCCCCCCACCCGGCCCGCAGGCCTCACTCCGTGGGACCTAAAAGTTTAGCCTCAACGTAGTCCCAGAGTCCTCGGGTGGCGGGGGCTCCGTAGTGTGCATGGCCGCGGCTGGCGCTCGGTGGCGGGCCCGCCTGGGGCGCGCGGCCGGCGGGCGGTGGAACCCCTCCGGGCGACCAGGCGGAGCTGCGCGAGGTGGCACACACAGCGTCTTGGCGGGGAGAGGAGGGACGGGCCGCAGAAGACAGAGGGGAGAAAAGAAAAAGGGGAAAAGAAAAAAAAAACAAGTTTCAGAAAGTAACCTCGCCCTCGGGGTCAGCAGCTGCAGATCTGGTACTCAGAAGTAAAATCGGGAGTAGCCCTCTTTCCGCGAAAAGTTAAAATCCACGCTCTTTCCTCCTGGACGCTTCAGTCTCCCGGGAGGCGGCTTAGAAAGCTAACCCGTGGGCGCTGCGCTCCAGACCCGACTCTGCCTTGGCGAAACTGGGGAAAGGCCACTGGAGCCGGCCGCGCCAGGACAGTGTAAATACAAACCTCCGAAGAGTGTTTTATTCCCGGGCGTCACATGCTATGAAACCTTTCTATGAGCGACTCGCAGTGTCTTTCTAAGTACTGTCACTATCTGATCCGGAAAGCTTAATATTTAACCTCTTGGGGGGGTCCTTGCCTCCCTTTTAAGAGTCTGATTTTGGCAGAGCTGGCGCTGGGAGCCACCAAAGGAGTGTTAGGTTTGGGGCTTTTTGTTGTTGTTATGAGAGTGAGGAGGGTGCAAAACGAGTTTATTATTTTTAAAGAGGCTCACTGCCCTCTCCTGCCAACCCTGTTGGGCAACCGGGAGTCATAGTCTGAGTCCAAGGACCCCAGACGTGGCATTCTAGTCTGCGGACTGGAAAGAATCCTTCAAAATTGGCTTTGGTTTCATTTTCCAACGCCAGGGCCTGGGAATCCTCCAGCCCAAGGACTAGCGGCCTGGCGCGGGAGATTTGGGGGGCGTCAGAGGGGAAGGAAGGGAATCAAGGATCTCTTACCCTATCCCATCCCCCAAAAATAACCTACAAAGAGAACCTCTCAGCGCGGGCCGGGCCCAGAGGCGCCTCCCCAGGGTTCGGGTAAATCACCCTGTAGTTCCAGTTTCAAGGTGTTTAAAAGACTGGTCTTTTGCAGATTCCCGTGGGGGAAGGAGGAGGTCTTGGAGCCCACCCTTCCCCCGCTGTCCGTCGGCCCGCCCGCGGCAACTCAGCTTCTTGATTCCCGAAGGCCAGGGAGCTCCTGAAGCCGCTGATCACGCCAAAACCCCCCCGGCTCTCCCGGGTGCTCGCCCTGAGCCCCGACTCTGCGCCCAGCCCCTCAGCTGGAGACCCCTTAAGCCGAAGACACCCTGGCCGCCTCCTCCAGCCTCCCTCCTCAACTTTGCTACGGGTGCCTATTTTAGCGTGTTTTGGGTTACAAACACCCCTTCTCCCTCCCTCGCATTAGGCTCTGGTTACCAGACCCGCGTTTACTTTGGAAAAATCTAAGGTCTAAGGTCGCCACATCCGAAGATACATGTCTCAAGGAGGCGATAAGTCTCCCGTGATTTTTTTTAAAAAATAATGTTGGGGCACCTTTCTTTTAAAATTCAGCGACTCGGAGCGTGCCCTGGCACCTCTGTTTAGGAAAGTAGGGGTGAAGCCCCCCCCCAAACCCCCTGGCAATGGCCGAGAAGCTGGCGTGGCCATCTGCGGGCTCTGCTGCGTTCTCCCTACTTTTCACCCCCGCTTAAATGCAGTTAAAATGGCTGAATTCCGGCTTTTAATTAAAAACAGCCTATAGTCGAAAACGTCTTGGCGTCTCTGGCTCTCTGGCCGCTCGCCGGGAAGCTAGCAGGGAACCGACGCCCCTCTGCCGTGTCGTGCCGGGCAGGGAAGCCTGGAGCGGGCTGGGGATTCGGGTGGGCGCCCGGGCGCAGTGGCGCGCCCCCACCCCTGGCGGGGCGCCCTCTCCTGATCCCTGCCCCCCGAGTGGGTTCTCGGGAGCCAGACGGTTTCGGGGACCCTCTGCGCAGCCCGAGGGGTGTGGGGGGTGGGGGGCGAGCTGCAGAAGTTCGGAGACCCTCGCCCCAGCGGGGCCGACGGGCGGACCAGCGGCGTACCTGGCGCGGCGGGGCTCCCGGCTCCGGGCTCCGGCAACAGCGACTCCGGCGGCGGCCCCGGCTCCCGGCGCGGCTAAGCGCCTGTGCTGCCCGCCATCCCGCGGCCGCCGCTCCCCTCCGCCACCCGCAGCCGCTTCACACTTTTTGCCCGCCTTTCCTTTTTTTGGTAGAAAACCGCTCCCTGGGCCGAGCGCTCTGCGCGCCAACTCCTCCGCCCTCCCGCGGCCCCGCTCCCGCAGCCCCCGGAAAAGCCAGCTTTCCTCCCGCCGAGCTCCCCGCTTTTTAATAAAATCCAGGTAGCGCCGGTTTAAAGAATCCCAAATCTCCATATACAGCCCGGGATTGGAAAAGGTACATTACACAACCCCCCTTTCAAGTTCCTCTCCCTGGATCTAAAAAAAAAAAAAAACCAGCGAAGGGGGGTGCGAGAAGGGGGCTGGGGGAGGGGAGCACTCGCAGGCTAAGAAACACGCATTGTTCCCGGGCGCCCGCCCCCCCCCAGGGCCGGCCCCCGGCCGGTGCGCATTGGCCGCGCCCGCCGCCCATCACACGCATGTAAACACCTTGGCCCTCAGCCATTCCTATAAAACCAATTACGGACCTCGGGGCTCCAGCAGTTTCTAGGCTCCCCTCGGCGGGACTGAATGATCAAAACTGGTGGTGAGAATTTTTCCGGACCGTTTCTAGGTAGCCCTCCCCCTCCACCAGCTCGGGGGCCCCCCCTTCCTCGTCCCCCCCCCCCCTCCAGCGTCTGGGCTGAGTGATCAAAATAGAGGAAGATGGTTGTCGCCGCAATCCAGGGCTTTGCAAGGCGCAGTTTAATGGGCCGCCTGTCAGCTTCCCGCTCGCTAAAGGAGGTGACAAGCCTGCCGAGCCGGGAAGGGCCTGGGGCTCAGTGGGCTGCACCCTGCGCCCGCGCCCCTGCCCGCCACCTCCCCTAGGGTGAGCCTCCAGAACGCAGGGGGGAGACGCCAAAATAGACAAGGGCTGCTTTTTTCTTTTTCATTTTTTTCTTCCTTTTAAAACAAAGCGGCGATTCATTCCCTCTCCCCCAGCAGCGCCTTCGGGTGGGATGGGCAGGCGAGAAGGCCGTTTTCCTCTCCCGGCCTCGGGTCCCTCCCTGAAATGCGGCGTCAGATGGTTACTGATTAATATTTTGGAGAGGCCTTGGCAGCGGGCAGCGGGCAGCGGGTGAGTCTAATCTTCTAAAAGGGGTTCCTATAGAAACGCGGCCCCAGGGCGCCCCCACCTTCGTTCCGGCCGGGGCTGCGGCGCTTCGCACAGCGCGCCCCTCCCCAAAGCCCTCTTGGCGTGGGCGCCCCTCTCTTCCCCCCTCCCCCCAAAAAAATCAGAGCAGAAAAAAGGATTAGATCGGCTGAGCGCGAGCTGAATCCCTCTCGATTCTGACATTTCAGCCTATTAGCATTTCTCCATGGGGCTTTCTGAAACCTATTAAAGTGTAATATTAAAAACCTCGTGGCTGGGGACCTCTCTCGCCTTCCATCCGCCGCGCCCCCTCCAGGGAGGGCGAGACCGGGAAAAAAAAAATGTTGAGCTCAGAGGAAGCAGCAGCCAAACCCAAAAGTGCTTGGCTGGTACGGCAGCCGGAGGGGGAGGGGAGCCGCAATCCCCAGACTTTGTACTTTTGTTTTGCGCTTTCAGCAAAATCCGTTCTGGGTTGAGTCGCCAGGAGCTGCCCGCGGCAGACCTACCTGTTTAGGGGCGCTGGAAATGCGAACCCCGCCGGAGGGACAGTCGCAGGAGCCCCGCAGCCCCACAGGCTCCAGAACCCTGTTGGGCATTACCTACCCTCGAAGGCAAGCTTTGGAAGGACAGAAATCCTTGTCGATCCTGCCTCAGAGAGCAACCCTGGTGACAGGTTTTTAATTAAGAGAAGCCTGCTCTACCCCCCTGTGCTGTAGAATCAGCGTTTTCGCATTTCTATTTTTTTTAAATCCATTTTTTAAGGCAACTTTTCTGGTGAAAAAAAGAGCTAGTTAGCGCCCCATTCGTTCTATTTTCTTTTCTCTACTTTTAGAAAAAAAAGAGGGGGAAGGGTTCGAAAGCGAACTGGGGGTGTCTAATTTAATTCCTGGATAAATTTGAGGAAAAAACTTCAGCCTCTTGAGGGCAGTTTCAAGTTGCCCTTCCTGGAGTCTCCTGCGTGGGTTTCTAGGCTGCCCTCTTTGGGAAGCTGGAGCTCGGCGGGGGGAGGAGGGAGGAGAGAGGAGAAAGGAACGAAAATAGCCGGAGCCGAGGGGACCGTGAGCGGTGACCGCGCTTGGAGCTGGGCGCACGGGTCTCGGTGGCGGCCAGGGCGGCGGGAGGCACCCGGTGCAACCCCCGGACGGCCAGGAGCAAAGACGGAGAAGAGAGGGGGGTTAGAGAAAGAAGGTATTGTGTCTGCGTACCTTAGGGGAAGGGGTGGCTGCACACGTGAAATCAGTGTGGGGCTGCGTGCGGCTGCTAAAGCCGACCCAGGCTAAGGGTCCGGGGCGCCGTGCGCCCTACAATTTTATCCAGAGGTCTTTGTGGGTTCCCAGTAAACCCTCCCGCGCCCGAGTCCCCAACACTTTCTGCACCCCCATGGCCCTTCAGTGTTCTGAACTCAGACCTTGATCTCCCACCCCCTGATCCCGCCTGGGTTCTGGAATGTTTTTCTTTATTTTAATACAGCTCAAGAAAAAAAAAAAAAACGTATCTTTGAGAGTTGGGGTGGGGAAATAACAAAAGACTTGTGGGTTGGAAAAAAACAAAGGCCTATTTTTATAAATGTTTAATGCTTTCACCCCTAGATGCTCCACGACGCCGTAATTGTGACGGTGGGATATGTGTGCCATAAATCATTTAGTTACTAATAAAAATTCTGCCGTTTGCCCTGGATTTGCCAATGGCGTTTGCATTTTTCAAGTATGCGCCTCGTCGGCGTGGCAAACCAAGCCGGCATTTCATTAGGGCCGCGCGGTTCGGGGCCGATGAGGCGCCCTCCCCCGCCAGAATGTGTGCGCCCCAGCCCCCTCCGCCGCCCGCTCTGCACAGCCCGCACCCGTGAGCTGCCACGCGGCCCCCCAGCCACCACCCGGCGCGGGGCCTGGAGACGCGGCGACACGGACAGAGCCAGCTCGTGCTGCTCCCGTGGGGCGCAGGAGAGGCCCTCCGCGTAGCTGCTCGGACCCGGCCTGGTGTCCCCCTCGCGGGCCGCACGCCCTGCCGCCCCGCAGTGGCCGAGAAAACAGGCCGGGAGCCATCTTGGGGCGTGGGACGGATCCCAAGAGGAGGCTGCAGCTAAAGCCCCTTGAAAAAAACCCTGCCATGACGGGGGGGGGCCTCTGGGCACCCCTAGCCAGGCCTTGGGGTCTGGGAGAACGCGGTCTGCGCCCTGGCCTGCCACACCGAACCGAGAAAACCCAGCTGCCTGCCCGGTGCGGAGCGGGAACCACCGCACAGCCCCGCCGCCATCTTCCGCGCCCCACCCCCCTCGAGCTTGTTTACCCGGCGGGATCCGTGGCCAAAAACCGTGTTGACGCAGTGGGTGTGTGGGTGTGTGTTTTGTACTGACTGGGCGGAAAATCAGCCGGGGGTGGGGACCTCCACGCAGTCTCAAGCCGCAATTCCCGGAGAACCCACCCTGGCCAGCTCGGCTGGCCCAGTGCGCTTGTCCGAGGCCAGCCGGAGTAGCCTGAGCTGGGATCTTTGTATGTGTCCCCAGGCATCCGCTCTCAAGACGCGTTCCAGCCGACAAAATTCTCCCCCTTCATTATAAAGCCAAAGGACAGGCCAACCTTGAGCCCGGCTGTGTCCCCTGCCGCGCCTTTGTCGGCGCTGAGGCCTGCGAATGTTGGCTGGTCCTCCGATTCCTGGAGCACAAGTCGGCCTCAGTTCTCCCCACGGCACGGTCGAACCTGGTTCTTCCAGAACCTTGGTGTTGCTGGCCGCGTGGATACATCTTCCCCGTTTTCTCAGCAAGGGTAAGGGGACAGCTAGCATTCTTTCCAAGGCATGGAAGTCCAAGTCACCCCATCGGTTGCCCCGAACCGCCTTTCTCCGATCGGAGCCCCCGAACTACACCAGCGTCTAAGGTAGTGAAGGGGATGCCGAGGATGGCGAGCTCCAAAGGCCGTGGGCAGTTCTAGGCAAGAGTTTCCGCAGGGTCGAACAACCAGGGAGCTCCCTGCCCGGGCGCCGCTAAAACCCGGAGAGGCCGCGCCCGGCACAGCCATCCTCGCTGCAACTGGACCAGGTGCGGCTCAGCCAGCCCAGTCGAGAGCCATGAGGACTCACCAGGAAGGCCAGAGACGCGGTGCCAGCGCCCCGCTCGCCACCAGAACCCTGGTGCACGGCTAGGAGAGCCCGGGCCGTTGCGCCAGGCCGGGCCTCGGAGGATTCCTCCGACTCCTCTCGGCCCCGCCTACGACCCTGGCCTCTTCCTCCGGCCCGGGTCGGGTCTTCCACTCCACTGTTTGGCTCGAAGAGGACGGAGAAGCGCTCAGTGCGCTGGGGGCCGGCCACGGCCATAAATCTCCCTCACCAGCCCTCCTTCCGCTGCTCACTGGCGGGTGTTCCAGCCTGGCCACTCGTCCCCGGCCGCCAGGTACCCTGCTCTCCCGGTCACTACGCTGGAAATCACTGTCAGGAGCTTCCCCGTTCGCCAAAAAGAGGGAGTCGCCTCGCCCATTCGGTGCCACCACCAGCCATCCCCTCGAGTGCCGGACCCCGAGGCGGCCTGGGCCTCACGGATCACCGCCCTGGGTAGGGGCGTGCGGGGGCCAGGTGAAGGCCTGCTGAGGTTTGAATGGGTGCGCAGCTATCCGAGCCACCGAGGGGCGACGCCTAGGTCAGGAACAGTGGCTTCTCAGCTGGTCACCTCAACGGACCCTGCCTTAGTCCCGCGCCCTTGGATCCCTCTTCGCTCGCCACGGGTTCCCCAGCTTGGCGACCCTTGTTTGACGCCCTACCCTCTTGGCACAAATAACCAAACCATTGGGAAAACAGGAATCTGTCGCTTGCAGGTCGAAGGCTAGGCGGGGCGCTGGTTTTTCCACCCTAACAGTCGGGAGGAAGTTGTTGGGAAGATCTGCAGTAGTAACGACTAATGTTATGGGCATTGTCTGTCTTCTTTGACAGAGGGGCCCGCAGACCTCTCTGCTGGTCCCTGCTTCAGCCAAGCAAGTGGAGGTACTCAGTGGGGACTAACCACCACGAAAGGGGCCGTGGGACGCTGGGTGGGGACAGTTGCGGAGGGGTTGACAATGCACCTTCTTGGGTGCCTCCCCAAAACCTCACATGGTGCCAGTGACACAATTCCGAGCGGGTGACAGAGGAGGCCGGGTGCAGGGGCTTTTGAAACTGGGCCCCGAGGTCGCTCTCACTCAAGGAGCTCCAGCTCCCTCAAATTTCCAAAAGCACAGTTGGAGGGACCGAGGGCTTCCGGCAGCCAGGCGCGCAGGAATTTGCGCGCTGGCCCCAGCGACGCCCGGGAGCGCAGAGGCTGCCCAGCCACATTCCGGCGAACCGCCCCAGCGAGGCCCCAGCCCAGGAAGCGGCTCGGAAAACAAAGCGCTGTGGTCTCAGCCCAAGGTTAAAGTCCACCGCCAGCGCTTTTTCCCCCGGAATCTGAGAGCGATAGCGTTTCTCCAAATAAACCGCCAATAAATCAGCTCCCGGGCCGAGCCAACTGAAGAGCTCTGGTGACCTTGGGGAATACTTCCTGCCTGCCAGACCCAGCAGAGGACAGGCGTGGGGGAGGGGGCCAATGTCAGCCCGTTCCCCCCACCCCCCAAGAAGAGAGGTGTGCCAAGGACATTTGTGGGTGTTTATTAGGGTGTGCGTGCCCAGAGGGGATGGGAGAGGTTTGGAGCAAGGTTTGGGAAGCCCTGGTTATTTGGGGACCTCAGTGCGCGGTTGTAAGGAGGTTTGTGATGCTGGGGGCTGCTTCGGAAAGGCTGACCGATGAGGGCCTCCAGAGCCACACGGTGCTAGTCCCTGGGGACCCAGCCCCGGACACTCTGGGCCCCTTCGGGGGCCCTGGTCTTTGTCTGGGTGTGACAGGGTGTGTTCGGCTTCGAGCTTGTGTAGAGTGTGACTAATGGGATTTATGGATGTCAGTGCCAGGGTGACTAATGGAGGCTTGGCAGCACGTGCTTTTGGCGAGGGCCACTGCACCTAGGTGGGGACCCAGTGCCCCAGGAGGGGGCTGCTGGGTCTCAGAAGCCCCCTCCCCTCCCCCACTAGCTCCCAGCTTGGTCTGCGGCCCCTCCACACACCCCCTGGCAGGCCAGTGCATGCTGCAGCGCTCCCCGACACATCCCTCTGCGGCCTGGCCCCCAGAGGCCCTCCAGGCCTCCCATCTCTCTGACCCGTGTGGTTGGTGCCTCCAGATCCTGGCCTTCCCACCACCTTGGCAGAGCCCTCCAATCCGCCTCTCTTTCATCCTGAAAACTCCCTACACGCACATTGTACAAGCCCCTTCGGGCTCAGCCCTGGGATGTGGGTACCATTCTATCCATTCAGTGGCTGCTACACCTTCAGGGTGGGCAGGAAAAGTGACAGACTCATAGCTAGCAGGGCTGACCTCACCAGGCAGGGTGCTGGGGAGAACATGCCTTCTTTTTTTGTTGATTTGGGGGAGTTTTGGGGGGGGGTTCTTTTGACAGTGCTGGGGGGTGGAACCGAGAGCCTCAGACATACTAAGCGTGCAGGCTACCACTGAGCTGCACCCCTTAAAAAACGTAAATGATTGCTGGGGATTTAGTTCAGTGGCGCCACACCTGCCTTGCAAGCGCCAAGGTCCTGAATTCCACCCCTGGTACCAAAAAAAACATAAATGCTGCCAGGTGTGGTGACGCACTCCCTCTGATCTCAGCAGATGGCCAGCAGAAGCAGGAGGATGGCAAGTTTGAGCCCAGCCTGAGCAACTTAGGAAGGCTGTCTCAAAGTAATAAATGGGATGGAGGAGCCAGGGATTTAGCTCAGTGGTTCCACTGCCTTCCTTGCAAGTGCAAGGTCCTGAGTTCGACCCCGGTAATGAAAAAAAAAAAAGGTCTAGGAATGTAGCTCAGTGCAGAGGCCCTGAGTTCAATCCCCAGTGCCACCAAATAAAAGAGTAAATAACCTATCCACACTAACACAACTCACTGCACTGGTTTTTGTTCTTCCACCAATCAGCCTTGTGGTCTTCTGGGGACTTTCTCCTGACTGTAACCTGAGGGGAGGTCAAATGTTAGTGGTTTGGCCAGGGGCAGTATGGATGGGTTGAGGTCCGGCTAGTATAGGGCTGCATTCCAATGGAGTTCAGGAGGGCAATGGCCACAGGGCAGGAGCTACAGCCTGTGGAAGCCAGCACAGGGCTCAGGGCCCACCTGGATCAGTGGCATTTCCCATCTCCCTTGGCCTTTTCTGACTTCTCACGCCCATACCGTTTGGGGTGTTTCTGGAGATACACTACACACGAGCTGTGTAGAGCACGTGACCCGTCATAAGGGTCCCTGAGCCGAGCGCAGTAGCCAATGCACAATGTAATCCCAGCACTCTGGGAGGCTGAGGCAGGAGGATCACAGGTTCCACTCCACCCTGGATGACTTAGTGAGACTCTGTCTCAAAATAAAACATAAAAAAGGGGACTTGGAAGGTAGCTCAGTGCAAAGACCTGGGTTCAATCCCCAGTATGACAAGGCGGAGGTGGGGGGCGACACGTCCCTGATACCTAAGGAAGTGGGCAACCCAACTAAGGCCACACAGAGTGGAAGCAAGCAGGTTAGACAGCTCTACCCAGCCCCTCCCATGTGACCTGCAGGTAGCAGGGCCTGACTATGCTCAGGGCTTCTGGCCACCAGGCTTCCAGGCTTCCCTCTCTCTCTCTCTCTCTCTCTCTCTCTCTCTCTCTCTGTCTCTTGCTCTCTGTCACACACTCCCTCACTCTTCACTTCCCTCTCCCCCCTCTTTTTCCCCCTTGCTTTTTATCCTTCTTTGGCATTTTCTTTCAAGCAGAAAACAAAAACATTTCCCATGGCTGCAGCTTTGAAAGCTCGCCTCTCCTATCTGCCTCCAGCCCTCGCCCACCCCATGTCAACCTACAGTCAGCACCAAGTCAAAAACAAACCTGCAAAGATCAAACCTGACGGGGGCCCCCTCCAAGCCTCCCTGCACTTTATCTTCAAGTCTTGCTCCATCTTTACCCAAAAGCAAACACTCAGGAGGCAGGAGACTCCCCCACATGCCGGGCCTGCGCACATGTGCCCCACACCCAGCCTCAAGGAACTCGGGGAACCTTCCAGAGCTGCTCCTACAGAAAGACCTGCTCTCTCCGTTCCTCCCTGGAGATGTCTGGGTTCTCCCCAGGCACCCCACCCCACCCTGCTTTCCTGGCGCAGCTTGCACGGCTGGGAAGCCACCTGTTATGCCTCAATATCCCCTCAAATTATATATGTTCCCATCCTAAGCCCCAGCTCCTCAAAACGTGGCTTTATTTGGAAATAGGGTCATTGCGATGTAAGAACCTAAAATGCGGGACTGGGGATTTAGCTCAGTGGTTCCTGCACCTGCCTTGCAAGCGCAAGGTTCTGAGTTCAATCCCCGGTACCAAAAAAAAAAAAACAAGGAGGGGGCTGGGGGTGCAGCTCAGTGGTAGAGTGCTTGGCTAGCATGAGTGAGGCCCTGGGTTCACTAGTACTAAAAAAAAAAAAAAGCCGAGTGTGGTCCTGCAGACCTGTGACCTCTGCATGCTGGAGGCTGAAGCATGAGGATCACAAGTTTGAGCCCATCCTAGGCAATTTAGTGACTTAGTGAGACCCTGTTGCAAAAAATTTTTAAAGGACTAAGGATCTAGCTCAGTGCAAAAGCCCTAGGTTCAACCCCCAGTAATACAAAATTAATAAATAGAGGGCCAGGGATTTAGCTCAGTGGAGCCATGCCTACCTGGCAAGCACAAGGTCCTGAGTTCAATTCCTGGTACTGGGGGAAAAAAGTAGATAGATAGATAGATAGATAGGTAGGTAGATAGATAGATAGATTGATTGATTGATTGATTGAAAAGGGGAAATGTGGAGGCGAACAGATCCCGAGGGGAGAGAATGTGAAGACCAGAGATGCGACCTACAAACCTCAAGGCCAAGATGGATCCTGCTTCTCTCAGCCTCTAGAACTCTGAGATAGCAGCTTTCTGTGGTGATAGCCACCCTGCCTGCTTGTCTGTAACTGCAGCCAGAGCAGACGTTACACCATCCCCGGTGTAAATGCCTCTGAGGGCAAGGTGGGAGCCCAGAGGAGCCAGAAGCCAACAGTGCCCAGGGCACCAGATCTGTGCCTGTCTTTAGGACACTGGTGTATCGGTCAGTTTGGTGGGCCGTGATGCTGTGACAAACATCCTCAGCATTGTAACATGAACATAAAGATGTGCTATTGATATAGACAGCTAAGTTAGGTAGGAATATTGTAGGTGTCAGTGCAGAGGATGAAAACACATGGAAGCTGTGGCTGGAGTTGCATCTGAAGATTAAAGCCACAATGCCTAGATTTGCATACTTCCCTAAGGAATGAACAGAAGCTTGAGGTTATTGACACCACCCTTGTGGGCTTTCCAGGTATAGATAGACCATTGTCTCATTGGGGGTGGGCCATCCTCTCCTACCCACTAAGACCACTAAGACTACAGATTACCTACCAAGGTTAATGATGTCATCCATATACCTCTATTACTATTGGGTCAATATTACCTAAGCAACTATACTTGTAATCTTATTGGTTGATTATAGTTTTTACCTGTGTTGTCCCCACCCCTCATGACTTTGCTCTATAAAACTTCCTTTGGGCCAGGGATTTAGCTCAGTGGCACCACACCTGCCTTGCAAGTGCAAGGTCCTGAGTTCAATCCCCTGTACCAAAAAAGAAAACCTTTGAGAAGTAGGCTCCTTTTCCAACCCATTTGGGACCCCTTCTGCCTGCCAGGAGCTATTCTTAGTCCAGTTTTCTTACCCCACATTCCTATTCCCCAGCAAATTTTCCTACTCTTAACTTCCATTGTTTCTTAGAATTCATTCTTCGACTTCAGGGAACAAGAACTTGGCATATCTGACATGTGGCATGTTGGGAGTTACAGTTATTTCCCTTATATCATGCCCTGTATCATTGTGACCTAAGGTTGTCTGCTAACCCAGGCTGGCATCCGAGAACACCCAACCTCCTTGTGGGGTCTGGAAAGCTCAGGTCACTGAGAATTCACAAATTGTCCCCCTGGACATGAGGTCAGTGGAGATCAGTGCCCTGTCACCTGTCTCTGGTGCTCATAGACCATATGACCACACTCAACTAAAGGGCACTTCCTTGTTTGTGACCCTTGACCCTCTTTAAATAGTTGTGAAATACAGTACCTATAAAGTTTACTGTTTTAACCATTTTGGGGGGGTACCAGGGATCAAACTCAGAACCTTGAGCTTGCTAGGCAGGCACCAGAACCACTGAGCTAAATCCCCAGCCCTGTTTTAACCGTTTTTAAGCAGATGGTTTGGTGGCTCTAAACAGTCAGAGCCTGATGCAATGACACATGCCTCTAATACTAGCTACCCAGGAGGCAGAGGCAGGAAGATTACAAGTTTGAGACCAGCCTGGGCAATTTAGTGAGACTCCATCTCAAACACACACACACTCACAAATGCTCACATCCTTCTCCAACTCCAGAACTTTCTCATCTTTCCAAACTGAAACTCTATAGCCATTAAATATAGCTTCCCATCCCTTCTATCCCCAAGCCCAGGCTCTCACCACTCTACTTTCCACCTCAAGGA